TTGGGTATGAGTATATCGTTATGGATGACTGCTATCAATTACATGGAAGGGACAATAGCACCAACAAGATTGTAGCTGATCCTGAGAAATTTCCCAACGGTATCAAGCATGTCGCAGATTCTATTCATGATTTAGGATTTAAGTTTGGTATGTATTCCTCAGCCGGTAGATATACATGCGGAGGGTATCCTGGCTCTTTAAATAACGAAGAATTAGATGCTCAAACATTCGCAGATTGGGGAATTGACTATTTGAAATATGATAATTGTTACAATGAAGGAAATAGTGGTACAGCGCAAATAAGTTACAAGAGGTATGATAAAATGGCTAAAGCCTTGAATGCTACCGGAAGACCTATATTCTATTCTTTATGCCAATGGGGAGAGGACAATGTATGGAATTGGGGATCTACAGTTTCAAACTCTTGGAGAATTTCTGGAGATATATATGATCACTTTGATCGTTACGATGACCGGTGTCCTTGTGAAACTTACGAGTGTCTTGGTCTACAAGGGTACATGTGTTCCATGACTAACATTTTAGAGAAAGCTGTTCCTCTTGGACAAAAAGCAGGTACAGGTCATGGGTGGAACGATTTAGACAGTCTTGAAGTAGGGAATGGTGGTATGAGTTACGATGAGTATGTTTCTCATTTTACTCTTTGGGCCATTTTGAAAAGTCCTTTAGTTTTAGGTAATGATGTCACAAATATGACTGATGAAGACTTGGGCATTATTAAAAATTCTCAAATAATTGCAATTAACCAAGATTTATCTGCCCCAGCCCATAGAGTTTGGAAAAAGGCAGTAAAAGGGGGATCGCTCCAATTATTTGCCAGTACCTTGGCTGATAAGTCACAGGTTGTAGCAATTTTTAACAGTGGTGATAATGAAGAAGATACCGAACTATTGTTTGAAGATATTTTTGTTGATGACATAACTATGAAAGACATGACATATTCAGGTAAAGAATTATGGACGAATGAAACTTCAACATTTCAAGATAAAATCAGTACGTCCATCAAAACTCACTCCATTAAAATTTGGAAGTTAACAGAAGCTAATTAATTTTTTTTATTGTATACTCTATATTGATATTACTTATTTCTATATTGCGTCTATTTTCCGTAATACTTGAGTTCTGCGTATCTCAAAAATGGATATGTTATGCCCGTAAACCCCATACATATCCAAAACCCAATATCTCCACCATAATCTCCTATCTTCCTGGCAACCCATCCCTGCCAATAAACCTGATTCATGCCTATTGCCGCCCCTATTATTCCTATTGCGAAGGAAATAAGTGCTGCAATCCCAAAAGTTATCAGATGAGGTTGGTTCCAGCAATTCCAATTATACAAATAATGCTTTTTATTTGTTTGTTCTGCTTCTTCTGAATTTTTGTTTTCGAATTCTCTATAATGTAATCTTCGAGTACTTTCTGTCCGTCTAAAAATGAAATTTTCTTGAAGAAGAATAGTGATATACATGGATATCCAATACGCCAACATAGGTAAAAAGTTTCCTAAAATAGTTGACAAATGCTCTCTACCTACCAATGATACAACGAGATATATAATCGTGCATAATATTGCCCAGCACCATCTTGGAATGAGAGCCAATTTAGGATCGATTAACTGGAATTCAAATGCACTTGAATATGTGTTCATAATATTGTTGCACACCAATGAAATATATAAAAGCACAACAATAAGTTTTCCAAAGTTTCCCCAAGGTTTACAAGATTCATTAATCAAACCACCCACTCCATATTCTAGGTATGCATCGTTCCATGGTTTATATGAATAAGCAATTGTACCACAAATTATACTGATTAAAGCGACAAAAGTAGTCGGAACCGATATACCAATAAAAGTTATCGAAAATACTTGCCATGACGGAGTATTCTCTGGAAACAAAATATAATAATCAGAAGCTCCTGCGCCCCATGTAGCTGTGACAGAATAACCAATTGTAAAGAATGAAAGCCAGTTTCCTCTAATAGTCTCTCCAGAAAACTTCTCCTGCGCAAGCAATTCATTCGTAAGTTTGATATAATCATATTTTTTACAAACAACAACATAAAACAAAATCGAAGCTACTATCATGGGAATTGCAATAATATTTTGAAACTTTAGGACTATTTTAATACCAAAAACAGCCACCACCAAACTTACGATAGATATTATCACCACGCCAACTGATAATGGAACTCCCGAAAGTGCACCAAGTACTTGACCTCCCAAGACACAATTTACAACGGACCACCCAAGACTACTTATTATAACAATAATCGCAACTATTCTAACTCCCCAACAGCCAAATAAAAATTTTGCTGTAACCATTTGACGGCACCCTGATTTTGCGCCCATAGTCGAACAGTAGGCAGGTACGAGACAGCCTATAATCATAGAAACTAGACCGCTGACCAAAGAATCACGAAAATTTAAGTTAAATAATAGTGTTGGTAGAAAGAAGGATGACATGGATGTCAAACCACCGCATGCTGCCACCCACAAGCCCAAGACATTTATGAATTGTCTCAACTTCGAATGCTTTTTTTTCTGTGCCAAAAGCTCCCTTTCTTCCGGTGATACTCTCTCTATACCTCTAGTTTCTATACCAAAAGAATCTAGCTTATACATCCACGAAATCCAACCACTGTGCTTGATTTTTTCGTTACTTGCCACAGAAGAATCGAGTTGCAGCTCATTCTCTTCTATATAATTTTTCGAACTTGAATCTGGTATCATTCTGTTTTCAATAAATCCGGCCATTCAACGATTTTTCCTGTGACGATCAAGCATGTATGACATATATGGGTCCATTTTAGTGCAACCATGGTTTTATAAATTTTTCAAAAGCTAGTGGATCATTTCTTGAATCATTTAGGCGCATATTGATTATGCACTTAAAAGGCGATTTAAATTGTGCAAAATAATTTACGAATAGTGATCCAGTCAACTCAATACATATCGATGTAAAATTAATCTCTATCGGTTGAGATTGTATAGACATCATGGTTCAAATTATAGACAATTTACTAGAAAAATACAAGGAAAAGTATCAGAAAGCGATTACACATCCCTTAACAAACGAATTATGCGAGGGAACTTTACCTGATTTTAAGCTTTTCACATACTTAACCCAAGACTTAAAGTTCTTCCAATTAGGAATGAACGTCTTTGGCAAAACCTTAGCATATTGTGACAACACCGAATCAGCCATTATTTTAAGTAAACAAATAGGCTTTATTGCTAACGATGAAAATAATTATTTTGATAATTGTTTATCTCAATTGAAGGAAACCAGCAAACCCGAATTGGAAAAGTATTGTTCCAAAATGTTGCTTGGCTCCAATTCTCCTATTTTACCTGAAGTTGAAGAATACCTTTCGTATTTAAATTATTTAGTGCATTCATCGCTGTCGTATGTTGAAATAATCACATTCATGTATTTAATGGAGCAAGTCTATCTTGGTTGGGCTGATTTCCATCTTCTCAAAGGAGACATTCCCGAAGATTTACAATACAAGCACAAGGAGTGGATCATTCTTCATAGTGGAGATAAATTTACTTCTTGGGTTGAATTTTTAAGAAGAGAAGTGAATAGAGTAGTCATTTCGGAAGATGATCGTTCCAAGTGTGAAGGAGCGTTCTTGAAGGCTTTAGATTTGGAAATTGCATTTTTCGAATCATGTTATGCATATAAAGAATAATTTTACATGGATAGTGCATTTTTCAATACGGAAAATAATATTAGGGTTTTGCAGCTATTTACTAGACTATGTGTATTAGGATCAGGATCCATCGACTTAATAGGAGATTTCCTTAATTATTCATATACAAATATACATAGTGAAGCTATATATTTCTATATCTCTTTTAGAATGGTAACTGAAATTAATCATGTCGTCTTCAATCGAAAGATTCAAACGAGAACGTGACACTTTTCTTTTTATAATTGCATAAATTTATCATTAATTACAACTTCAATGAAGATGGTTAAGTCTCATGTAAAACTCACTATCAAAAAAAAGGTCTTCAATCCCAAATTGTCTAAAAGGATCGTTCTCCTGATACATGGCATCAGCTCCAGTAGGGGGTATCACATTTGAATTTTCAAGTGATAAGTTTCCTGGAAATAAAACAGAACTAACATCCGGCTCTCCAGCATTTGACCATATGCTTCTGAATTGAAGGTCAGAAGATTCTTGCTTAAACAAATCCAACAGTCTCCATAGTTTGTCAACTTGAATATCGTTCATTATGGCTTCCATTGAATCCCCTTCTTTTCTACTTTCGATTGAAGGTTTGTCGATTTTTCTATGACGATCTAATATTGATATACTTGTAAGACTGCTCAGATTTTTTTCCTTCAAATTTACGCAAGATGTTAATAACTTTTCTAGATCAGAAATATCGTTCAAAGAATATTTCAAAGAAGCATTATCTGTTGTTTTTTCATCATCATAAAGTCTATCATCAGAAGTAATATTGAGGCCATATACAATCGATTGTAAATATTTCCAAGCAAAATAGTACCTGTCTTTGAAATAGCTCATGAAAGTTTTATTACTGTCCATGAGAATACTAAAAACAGACAATAAGCTCTCAAGTGTCCTGCCATGTAGTTCCAACTCTTCATCTTTAATATCTTTCGAATGCAATTTTCTCTCTATTGATTTCTGAGTACACTTCAATCGCAAATGAATCAGAAATGAAAGCAGCTCCATACGACTAACTATCTGCAATATAGGACTTAAAATCAAGGTAAATCCCGGGCCGAAATATTCATCACAATTATCTAAAAGGTTTCCAGATATACCCGCCAATTCGGAGAAAGTAGTGTACATTAGCTTTTTCAAGTAAAAAAA